CATATATTTTTTAAAATAACCATGTACATTGGGAATAGAAATGACAGTAAGGCAGAGAGCTTCACTGTGTCATCTGAAGGTCATTTTCACACAGGCCTAGCAAAGAATGGACACATTAAAATGGCCATTAGTTTTTCTACACAAAGCTTTTTGAACCTTGGTCCTAAAGAGCCCCAAATCAGTTAAGCTGTGCAGGTCACCCAAAATCACCTTTATCAAAAGACTGAGAAACCTGATCAATAAGAAAGGTATTTTAATTACATGAATTCTGGTCCTAAAGGGATAAAAGGTATTCAGATTTGTGCTCCCAATGACCTGAAAATGACTATATTTAACAAATAATGAAACTATGTCTCATGGTTTTAGAAACTGGTGATTTATTGGTTGCCTATAAGATATGCTGTATTGGGGCACCCCAGGACCAGGGCTGGAGACCCCTGTGCTACAGGAAGGACTCTTAAACTACTGCATGAGAAGGTCGATTTTTAAGATTGATAGTTTGAGTGTGCCCCCTATACATTCTGAACTGCACTTTGGTATAATTTATGTTTGCGTCATGACTGAATTTGCTGATTAACTAGACTGATGATTGAAGAGAAAAAAAAACTGTGCTCTTACTGTAAAAGCCAATAGGAAATATTCTGTTGTGCTGCATTTCCTGGATCAAATGATCTTGGGTTCAGTCACAAGAAGATCGTTTCTGTTTGCCTTGTTACTATTTACTGTATTTCTGTCATTAGTCCTTCTCAATGAAAATTACATTTTAAGTGTCTCTATACTGGTCCACACACGGGGAGGGGTTCAGGCACTGACCATTCACCATGAACGGGAAGGTTTTGAAACAAAATGCATGTGAAGACAGTTCTCTGACAGGTCAGGGAATGTGTAAATGAAGCTGAGAGACATGCAGGGAGACAGGAAGATAAAAAATATCACAGACAAAGAGGGAAAAACATATTCTCTCTCACTCCACCTCAGAATGATGGAAAAGCATGGCCGAGGAAAGGATTGTGTGACATAAACAGCAGGGCCAGAACACATTTTTAATTTTCACGTTCCATCTAGAAATGACCTCGCGAATCTTTACAGCACACATGCAGCATGAACAGCTTCTGTCTACTGCATGCTCCCTGGCAATTATTTCGATCAGAACTGTGACTTTCAAATGGATATTCATTCGACTCTAAACATGTAGCGGAGCAGTGGCTCTGTGGCTAAGGATCTGGGGTCTGCGAAAAGACAAATTCCTAATGCAAGAAATTGTATATGGCCAATAAAGTGATCTTACGCAGTAAATATTTTCACATTTAAAAATGCGTTAATGGTTCAATGGGTGTTGCGGCTGTGATGATTCATTCTCTCTTGAGAATTCATTCTGAGATAACAATGAATGATAATCAGGGGCGCTTATACAGATTGTTTTATACCTAAGGAGCCCAAAGCGTGAAGCCAACATTACTGAAGCCCAGCTTCCACCTGCTTCTACACACAGAAACTATTCTGCAGCAGCAGCCCCACTGCACAACAGATCAGAGGGAGAAGGGAGAAACTGCTTCACCAGTTGGACTATGGGAGAACATTTAGGGGACCAGATTGAAGAAACCCAGAGTAGAATCCAGCCAGGACACCTGGAAGGTACTATGGGATCTTTAAAGACTAAGGAGTCAAGTCTCATCCGAAGGATGTCCACTGTCACCACACTGAGGCATTGGTTTCGAAATTCTGTTCCAGAGGGAAGAGTGCCACCTACTGGTCCACCAGCATCACTTACAGCAACAGCAACATGGCCCTCCCTTGTTTACAGTAGGTTCTTTGATCTGAAGATATCACATAGATAACATAGTAGCCGAGAAGTTGGTGATTCTGCTGATAATCCTGTGTCTGTCAGCTACAGATGCATAATCTCAACAAAATCCACAAATACTTTTTAAAACCAGTAAAGAACAACAAATTACTCACGCAGCCTTGCAGGTAATAATTTTGGTCATCTCTGAAACTGTATCAATCATGCAGACAGCCTGTCCAAATTGTAATTAAGATGGGCGCCCTTAGCCTAGGATGCTAATACAGTATATCCTTCCTGTAGCATTTCCTGAATGCAGACAGAAATTCAAGGTAGAATAACAGTTTTGTCAACAGAAGAGACCGTGAGACTAAAGGACCTCCTGCAACTAAACAACAATCTGGGGCTTTCACTAGCAAACCTACTGTATTCTAGAAATTGGCATTTACAGGGGCACATGCATCCTGTTACAAAAAAAGACAGGATTTTGCTCCATTTGTAACCTCTGAATCAACTGATGTTTCGCATCACGACAGCCCTCTTGGCAGCAGACGAAATCGAGGCTTCAGCACGGAGAGGAGACTTGGGACTGACGCGCGGGCGCCTTTTCCCAGCGAGCAGCAGAACGCACGCAAGCCTCCGCTGCTGAACAGAGCCCTGCTGCAGAACCATTTCCACCACACGTTTTCTCTTAATAACACTCAGAGCGCAAGCGCCTCCCTTCTGGAGGAGCGTGACACTCATGGTGGCACACATGTGAAAAGCACAGGAGTCACTTAGTGTATCTGCTTTTTGGCACAATAATAAAGGTGCAAAATAAGATAAAACTGAATGAATGTGCATGAAAAAACTGAAATGCATTATGTATTCAACTCATTAGACTTTATGCAATGTTTAGATTCAGATGGACTACGTCAACTATCAAAGCAATAATAATATTGTTGAACGCGTTCTTGTAGGACAGAGATACATATAGTATTAGTTCTCTTTGAAGATTTGTAGTCCTACCTTCTAGACTGCCTCTGTATCAAAGATCAAACGGTGATTCAATCAATTAAAATGAGGTAAAAAGCTTTTGGAAAAGAAAAAAAACTGCTTATTGCCAAGGTTTAGGAGAAATAAGCACACGCAGAGAGAAAAAACGATGGCAGCATGAAACAGAATTTCGGAGCAGGACGGCCAGGATATTTTTTTTTTCCGATTTGCAGATACAGGATTATGTTTTGTCAAGAAGACAATAACTAGGGACGGACGGAACACAAAGAGGGTCGATCCCCACGCGTCCTTCAGACACAGGAGGCGCGCGGCTCACAGGGTGGCACCTTCCACGGGAACACTCCAAGAGTGTGTGCAGAGAGCTGGGGAGGCCGGGAGAAAGCGGGAAAGGGATCCCCAGGGATCAAACGCTCTTTTACGGGAGCTACACGGGAACAGGGGCGATCAGAGACGGGTACAATGGGCAGGGACGGGACAGAGAGGAATGCGTCGCGCTCCTGTGCGCTTGAACAAGTGCTGTTAAGACAAAACCCTTCGTGTTTCTAACCAGAGAGAAAGCGAAAGCAGCCGTCGCCAGAGACGGAGCAGTGTGGTGCTGTGCCACTCTGACACAATAAGCTGACTCTCCCCTTTCAGTCTCTCACTGTTACATCACCTGGAGACAGGAACAGGGGCAGAGAGATCACGAGAGGCTATGAGAGGGAACAGCAGCAGACATAAACACATGCAGATATGAACAGATTGTTGATGGACAAGTCAGGCAGATGTAAAGATTTTCATATATCTCTAGAAGCTACAACATACGTGAGTGCTCCTTTAAACAGAAGGCTCTTACTCAAATTTGCTGTAAATAATACCAGGTCTTCACTGTCAAACAAAATTATCCGAAAGCAAACCATTAATTGATTTTGAAAGTCGTAGGGTTTAAATAGTCCTTTGAGAAGCCATTTGATCTCCCATTAAAGTTCAGTTTTGCGCAGCTTGCAAAAGCTACTGACACAGCTACTGTACGTCACGGGAGCTCTACAGAGAACAGATACAACATTTCTGCGCACTCAAGTTTTAGCTACTGCTGCCGATTACCTGCATCTGATAGGTAATGACTGGCGGAGTGCGTGGCTGTCGGGGGCTGGAATCTGAAGTGTGCACATGACTCTGAGTCAGTGACATAGCGGTAACTGACCAAAAATAAACAAGTGCATCCTGAATTCCAGTCGGAAAACTGAGCGGCAGGAGGACAAACCGCCCATGACGACACCACTGTGAGAGGGTTAAGGGGTTCTGGGGGTGCGGGGGAGGGGGTGGGGGAGAGTCAGAAGGGAAATGAAGCCTTACCTCCACCGTTCTTGTAGCACAGGTAAGGGAAGCGCCACACGTTCCCCAGACCCACAGCGAAGCCCACGCAGGACATGATGAAGTCCATCTGCCTGGTCCAGGTCTCTCTTTCCGGGTACACTACCCTGTCCACTGCGGGCACCCCCGCGCCCCCTGCCCCCGCCGCCGCTATGCCAACCAGGTTGCCGTTGGCACCCTGGTGCCCACTGCAGTTCGGGATGAGGTGCCCTTTCTTCTCCTCCCCCAAAACCACAGAGCAGCAGTCGTCCTTCAGCATCGACTTCTCCATCTCCGCAGCTGGACGGCAGCAAACCAGAAACCCTCCTGACCCTTCCTGTCAGCTCTGGGAGGAAGACCAGAGAAGTGTTCAGTCAGTATTTTGTTTTTTTTTAAAAAGCAACAACCTCAGGTAGTAGAATCCTCTTACATTGGTCACAGTTCAGCTGTCATCCAAGAATCAAGACCGCTGTTCTTATTTTTAGTCTCAGTAGCGGCTAACCAGTTCAAAACAGAACCTGCTCTCTCCGTTTGATATAGATTTTTTTGGACGTTCTGTATCTCAGCTTTCCGTAACAATAAAAGTCAGCGGGTAAAGATATCAGTTCTTTTTTTTTTTGGAGAAATGTAAAAAACAATCAGCCCCAGAAAAGGCTGATAAAATATCGCCGTGGATCAGAAATCGATGCGGAAAAACAGCTGTTTTTTTTTTCAAAAAAAAAAAGGGAAAAAAATGAGAAGAGGTCAAAAAAGCACCAGCCGGACAGCACCTTCAAAAACAATCCACGAAACACTTAAATGTGAGTCTGAAGAATCGCATGGGAACGTATCTCTCAAAGAGGAGACAGGAGGGAAGAGAAAAAAACTAGCGGTGCGCCTTGCTCTCTCTGGTCTCCGGTGGAAAGGCTACTGCGCTTGCTGTGCTGCTTTCCTATAGCCCTGCGCTCACTGCTTCATTGTCTCTCCTGCGTCTGGTGCAAGTGCAGCTCTGCTCCTCGTGTCTGTGCTCCTCTGTGTAGGCTCTGCTGAGGACTGGGAGGCAGCGCTGACTCGCAGCTTAAAAGACGTCACCGGGATTTAGTCCCCACCCCCCATCCCTCCTTCAGAACACACTCTCATACCAGGCTCCCTCCCTCCCTCATTCACACATCCAGACGCTCTCTCCCGCTCCCCACGCCCCCTCTCTGTCACCCCCTGTGCCATATCTCGTGTTTCAGATTCAATCAGGCTTCATCTCATATCAGGTACAATACGTGCTCACTGGCCGACACGGCTGGAGGTCGGACGCGTACTGGACTCTGTCAGAAACGCAAGTCAAACAAAAGCTGTCTAAGAATAAATCACTGCTGTTTTTTGTACACAGGCTGAAGGGTGAAATATAAAAAAAAATAAGGAAAATAAACTGCACAGGCAGAAATCTACAACTGAAAACAAACTGTTATAAGCTGCATCTAAGTCAACGATTTGCCTTTTCGATGCAGTGAAACAGTGCGACATTCGAACAGAGATGCACTCTGTTGTAGTTTGAATAGTCAACATAGGGATTGTGCTGCTGTCAACATAAGACCAATTTCTTTAAAATGAAATCGCAGGTACAGTACAGTATATGCTGTGTGTTGTGTAACCGTGTCATGAATAGAGGACTAAACAGAGTAAAGCTTCCTTGAATATAACACTGGAGAAGAAAGAAAAGAAGATGTATTCTATTCTTCAGGGGTAATTAGTTTTTTTTTAGGTTACAGATTCTAAATAGATTTGAACAGATTAAAAACTTTAAAAACCCATCTGGTGACCTAGAAATATAAAAATAAATTTGTGGTAGAAATACTTCCACTGTCCCTGGTAGCTGTCTTAGCAGTAGCAAAAAAAATGTTTGTACCTCCTTTAAATCCCCCCACTAGATCTCAATGTCATATCGATGCAGGAAGGGTATTAAAAGCTCTCCCTCTACTCACAAGCACCTTTTCCACCTGCATCCCCACACAGCTCAGAACAAATGGCTGGAGCTCGTTCCCAGAGTAAATCTGAAATTGAAAGCTGTTCTGCCTGTGAGAAACACATACTGCTACCTAGTTATACTTGCAAATGCACAAGACAGTAATGTTGCTGTTAGCACTGTGTCCGGTCTAGCCATCAACTTTACCATTACCTAGAGTACAAGATCCCTGCAGTACGTTACCTTGAACTGAGCTCGGTGCTGGAGACTTACTATTCTGGTGCTGGACTATGAGAGGTCTTGGCTCACATGCCACAACGCCTGGCCAGTGTAATCTCATTCCCCCCAAGTGAAGCCTAGAGGGTATTACTGCACAGGGTGTTGTGTATCAGTCCAACGTATAAAAATAGCTCCTCGGCCAAGTTATATCACTGTGTGTCAAAATGTTTCTTTACCATACTAAGGCAACAGTGGTGAAGAGTCCCCATGAATGGAAGATGCACCAGTCTTAAATCCTACAACAGCTCTTGTACATAGGGGATAGGGAGACTTTAAATTGGACTCATTGACAAAGAAAAGTAGACAAGACTAGCTAGCCTGTGAGAGGAACAGTGTTTGAAGCCGTTCTGCAGTTAAATTCCACTGTCGGTGTTGTAATCTTAAAGGTTCGCTGACATCGTACTGTATGTTTGAAGAGACCTCTATTGCCAATTTGACTGACAAACTATGAAAGACATGACGGCATTGATTAAACTCTGATTACAGGGACTGACTTTATTCACGATGAAGCGATAGCAGTCAGTGACAGTTACAATTTCAGCTGCTGTATTATAGCTGAAATGTAGACAGAAAAAGCTCTTTCACTTTCTGTATAATGGTTTACGAATCTAAGCAGGGGATTACCATCGTTGTGGAGCAGCAGGGCTATCTGCTCCTTGTGTATGTCATGTGAACATGTCATGTCCTGCAGCATAACCTGGAAACGTGGAAGTCAATGTGCCATAAAGACGTCATGACACTTTCTAACCTTTATCTTACTTTTTGAGAAGTGGTGTCCTCCCTTCCATATGTATAAAAGGTGCAGGGGGTAAAGGAGATACTTTAATCTTCTCCATATGCTTGATTGCAATGGACATGAGAGATGTTTATTTACCATGTTTACTCATATGGTTTTAATTCATTTTTATAATAACAGGCTGGAGTTTTTCTTCTGTTTCACTGGGAAGGGTTAAGAAAGCTGACAAGAGAACACACTTACACTGTATGCGCGGAGGTATTACTCAGAGCTTCTTTTTCAAAGCAATTATCGATTTAAAGTATGCCATTTTAGAAAAAGAGCTTCAGCCAAAACACGCATTGAGGACTCCATGTTTCCCTCTTGTGGCAAGCCGTTAGTACTACAGTAACGAAAACGGTTCCATCTCGGAAATTTCGCCACAAACCACCTATAGGATCAATTTATCAGCACAGACATGAGTGATTTATCACACTGTCTGGCACAATTAATCCTTCCTGGCATTCAAACACACAGCAGCAATTCCATGAATAAACGCGTTACAATATGTTTTCAGTCAGGTTTTGGAATAATCTCTTCACAAAGGAAATAAAACATCTCTTGATAAGCTCTTGACTGCTTGACGAAGACCCTAAACATGGACCACGAGAAACAAACACAAAATTTGATAAAGTTAATGTTTTCTCAGCAACATAATTCTGTCCTATTGCAGAGGCAAATTGTCTTGTTTGTGTTTTTTGCCAAAATGAACATATTTCCTCTTTGACACAGGAACACAAAGTCAACACTGAGCACAGAAAGTCCTCAAATTCTAGTGTAATGAATAATAATAATGATAAAAAAACTTTATTTTATATAGCACCTTTAAAGGTGGCTTCTCAAAGCGCTTTACAGAATGACAACAACAATAAATAAGAAGAATACACAAGATAAAACACAATTACAATACACACAGGAGGCCGTGGATGGTGGTACTAAGTCTAGTAGGAGCAGAGGGATAAAGAATGGAACCAGTTCAGTAAAAGCTCTTCTAAAGAAGGTTTTGAGTCTGAATGTGAAGGAGTTTAGAGAAGGTGACTCTCTGATATCCTTGGGGGCTTGGGGGACAGTTAGAAGAGCGAAGGTTGTGAGGTGGGGAGTAGGGCGATAGTAGTTCAGACAGGTACTGAGGTGCCAAGCCATGCAGAGCCTTATACAGTAGGTGACCATGAGGGTTTTAAAGTCCACACGGAATTTGACAGGAAGCCAGTGCAAGGACTCCAGGATAGGAGTAATGTGAACACTTGCACTTGACCTGGTCAGAATTCTGGCTGCCGAATTTTGGACATACTGTGGTTTGCTCAATATAGATTTAGACACCCCAGCAAGTAGAGCACTGCAGCAGTGTAAGTACAGACAACCCATGGGAAAAGAGCAAATACCCTATAGTAAATTTACCACAGTACACTCTCATAAGTGTACATGCAGCCACAAACATTTTGCCCTTTGGCCTTATTTTCACCCTGCCTGCATGTAAAGATTCAAATGGCTCATCCCTTTAAAGATGAATGCATCACATTCTTGCTATTATCCTGTTACTCAGTTGGTAGGATCTAGAACAAAGGTAAATCATTATGTCTACATAAATCAACACTCTCAAAAAGTGTAGAGTTAGTTAAGTGTTCATTTAATCACTGGCCTCTTCTTCCTAAAATAAGATTTACTCCCTCCAGGTGTTACACGAGTTGAAAGATTTGGAGTTTGATTAAAGAATGGAGGAGTCTTCAACATGTCCCAGGTGATCTCTCAGACAATCCAATCTAGCATTGCGCATTCCACAGCCACTCCCAGCCCATCCTGTCTTGATTGTTCCTTTATTAAACCTGTAAACTAATCACCTGGCTTACATCAAGAGGGAGGGGAGCTTTTCCTCCATCAATTGCTGGGAACAAGCCAGCACTGTTAATCAGGAGCACACAGCCCGTCTGCAGCAGGCCAGAATCTGCCTCCCTGAACCACGTGGCTCAAGTGGCCAGGAACACATCACACTACATATTCGCCCTTCTCATGACGTTGTTCAAGTGTTTTTCTCAGTTAGGAAGACAAATATGAAGGAAGCTTTTGCTGTTACCTTCAAGCTGCTTGTGTCCTTCCTCATTTCAGATGCCCCACTCTTTGCAGCGAAGCAGATATCTGAGGGAAAAAGAATACACGTTTAACCTATTGTCTGAGAGGGTTCAGGGTTTAACAATACACCACAGAGATTCTTCACATCAAAGTTCTCCCAGCGCAGCCTTCATGAACCTAGGGAGGCGCAGCCAGCACGGAATTAAGCTAAACGGATGCAATCTGGGCCAGAGTGAATCATGCTTACTGTAACAATAAAAAATTCCAACACTTCTTTATCTACCAGACAGGAGCCAAGTTCAGAGGTTCACAGCTTACACACAGAAGCCACATGAGTTTTGATTCAATCGAAGGTCCTTCCTCCAAAAAAACCCCGAAACTAGAAACTCAATCCATGGATGTAGCTCTAGGAATATGATGTGACAACAGGTAGCACATTACCATTGACACGCATATACAGCATCTTACTTGACAGCATGACCGAGTGTGGAGATTGACAAGGCTCTTAACAAAGAGTTCTGAAAAGGGGTTCGTTATGGAAGCCTTTAAGTATGAGGTATATCCCATGACCAATAACTGATTCTAGCTCTATAGCTGCCAAGTACAACAAAAAATAGAAGTACCGAAGAAAAGGATCGTCATTGGACCAACAGAATAATTACTGTAGAGATCGCACAAAGCAAGTTAAATGCACTGTGTTTTGCAAAAAGTTGCTCAAAATACCTTTTACGGAATGAAGTTGACACTCTTTCAGAAATATACAGTATATACACTGGGAGGTATTAAAAACTCAATGAGCGCAATTCATTCCAATACTCATTTGTAGGGTTTTAAATGCATCTCACTTTACAACACATACAGTACAGTATATCTTTATGTACGAAAAACAGTTTGTGAAAACATTTAATACATGGAATGTAAAGTACTGTTAAAGCCTTGGAAATGTCACAGGGAAACTGTGGTGAAAAGAACAATATTGT